TACAGTGTCAGCATATTGCCCCCAACAACAATCCGGGTCCTCATTTTACCCACCTCGGAAGGATGGAAGGCTGAGTCAACCCTGAGCCGGTGAGATTTGAACAGCCGAACTGCAGTCAGCTGAAGTAGCCTGCAGTGCTGCATTTAACCACTGCGCCACCTCGGCTTTAATTTTGACATAGATGGCCTCTTTGACCCCTCTTGATCTATTTTGATCTATGCCAAATTGAACAGCCTTCTCTTAAGGGGTGGTAGTGGTGATGGTGGTATATGACATATATCTCCAATCTACAACTTTGATTTTATATTTTGCTGGTTAAGTAGGCTTGTCGTTATAGAAATGGCTAGTAAAGCAATGGCAAACCTTTTTTGGCTCGCGTGCCATAAGCGGGGGGAACGCAGGAGGGACGTGTGCGGGCGTGCCGCACCCATAATGCAATGCGCGATCCCCCCTAGTGCGCATGCATGCACTACAGGCAATCCCCCCATTTTTTGCATGCTATTTTCGCCCTCCCCAGACTCCAGAGGTTTTATAGGAGCCTGGGGTGGGCGAAAACAGCCTCCCCCACCCCCCTGGAAGCCCTCCGGAGGCTTCAGGGACCTTCAGGAGGCTTCTCTGAAGCCTCCGGAGCAGTCAAAATGACCGTCCGAGCAAAGTGGAAGTCACTTCCGCTTTGCTCGGAGAGTCGTTTTGAGCAATCGGAAGGCTTCAGGGACCTTCAGGAGGCTTCTCTGAAGCTTCCGGAGCAGTCAAAACAACGCTCCGAGCAAAGCGGAAGTCCGTTCCAGAACTTCCGGTTTGCCTGTAGGGCTGGTTTTTTGCGCTCCGGAGGCTTCAGGGAAGCTCATGAAGCCTCTGGAGGGCCTCCGGGGTGGGGGGGGATGCTCTTTTTGCCCTCCCCAGGCTCCTATAGAGCCTCTGGAGCCTGGGGAGGGTGAAAAATGGCTTTAAAAAAGGGTGAACACAGCTGGCCAGCGCGCACATACGCACTGGCCAGCTGAGAGGGCAGCGCCTCGCGTACCCTGACAAATGGCTCTGGTGCCACGCGTGCCATAGGTTCGCCATCCCAGGGCTAGTATATATTATTATATAAAAGTAAACATTGGTGCTTCATTTTGTTACCTTATTCTACTGCCCCAAAAGGAGTCGGAAGTCAATGCCTTTTTTGTGTGTTTTCCCCTCTACCCTACAGTTTTCTTTCTCTCCCGTTTCCACCCTTATTCTACCATTATTTTCATTTTTCTTCGTATTTCTGCATTTTATATTTTGATAAACTAATTTTGAAATGGAAGTAGCAAACATGTTGGAAGAGACCTTCCCTAGTTTCTTGGACTGTAAAAGAGGGGCGGGGGGTGCGTGCAGGGATTGTTCTACTTTAGAACCCGCAAGACTGAGGTCAGCTTTGCGCATGACCTGTCAAAACCGCGGACGACAAAAGCGCGCTCGATGAAAGCGCGTACCTGACGTCATCAGCAGCGCGACGAAAAAAATTAAAAAATAAATTAAATTAAAATTAAAATAAAATTAAAGCAAGCCTATTCACATAAAGGTAAGGGTTAGGTTTAGGGTTAGGGTTAGGTTTAGGGTTAAGGGTTAGGGTTACGTTAAGCGTTAGGGTTTTGTTTTGCGTTAGGTTAAGGGTTAGCGTTAGGTTTAGCGTTAGGTTAAGGGTTAGC